CCCGCCCCAAGGGTCCCCTGGCGCTGTACCGGAGCCGGCGCTGCTGTGCTGGTCCGGTCGGTACTTGACACCTGGTGGCTTTAGAGTCAGCTCGTTGTTTCGGGCGTAGCCATTGCCGCTGTGCGGAGAGAGGAGGTTTGGGCTCACCCTCCCAACACAACCCTCCTCTGCTCCCCACAGAGCAGCTGGGGAAGGAACTGCCGCGGTTTGCAGGGGTGAGGGTTTAAATGGGATAGGGCTGCTCCAGGAGTGGGAGCTGGGCTCTCCTGGGGATAACACCTTTGATGGTCCCATCACAGTGCTGGGAGAAATCCCTGCTGTCCCAAACCCCTCTGTGCAGTACCTGGAGAAGCCGATCAGCACGTTGCCTGCAGCCAGCTTAGTGTAGTCCCACTGCATCCCACCGTCCTGGTAGAGCAGCAGGGCGAAGGAGCGGTTCCCATCAGTGGTGAGCACTGCCTGGTAGGTGTTTGTCTGGAGAAACCCAAGCACCCCTTTAGCACCCCCAAAGCCTCCCCTGCTCTCCCCACAGCACACACTGAGGCAGTGAGATTCAAAATAGATGTATCAAGATGCAACAGCCCAGCCCTGCCCCTGCCATCGCTGGTGACAGTCCCCTCCATCACCTGGGTGCCCCACACCTCACCTGAGTGTCATCTCTCTGGGATGGGTATGCTGGAGCCTTCTCCCACGTCACCTTCAAGGTCCATTTTGCTGTGTAGGGGATTTTCAGGTATTTTTCAATCTTTGCTTCCACATCCTGCACAACGGGGTCTCGGGTAGAGCTGAGGGTGGAGTACTCCTGCCAGTTGGCAAGAGAGAGGGTTAAAGGAGTGAGCTGGGAGCTGGGCTCTCCCAGGAGAACAACGTCAGTCTCCCTCACCTTGTACCAGGTTGTGCCAACACCCTGGGAGAAATCTGCATCATCCCAAAAGGCAGCCACCATCGGCAAGCTCTCCCGGCCGCTGAAGCCCCGGGGAGGAGGGTTAGGGTTGGATGGGACATAGTTGTCCGTGGGTGGGAAAATTATCTGTCCATTATCTGTAAACTAATCAAATAAGTGTTACTTGCCAACATCCCAGGCAGCTCCTGGCGTGGCTTTTAGCCTCTGTGGGTGAGCAGAAACCAGCCATTTTAAATTGAATAACAAATATTCAGAAGAAATTTGGTTTCTGCTCCATTTCTGTAGGGTTTTTTTGTATCAGAGGCTGCACGTCCTTTTATGTTCTCAGCAAGGCGGCAACTCACGTAGAGAGCATCTCGCAGTGACTTCCCAAAGGGGAATCCAATCTCTGGCTTGAACAGGGGGGAGTTAAAATCCACTGTCCTCTGGATGAACTCTTGGTCCCCTCCTTCCATGCCAAAAGGGTAGAGCGAGACTGCTGGCACTGACATGGGCAGAAGATAAATAAAAATAGTGTAAAACCGTAAATGTCTGCTCTAGCCATCCTGCAAGCAGGACAAACTTGCCTGCTTGCTGATGGGATGCTGTGTTTGTAATCTGATGGATTGTAACCTGGTTTTCAACCCAGTTTTGGGTGCTCTTAGATGTGCTATTTTGCCTTTCCCTAGGAATCTGGCAGCCCAATATGCAAAGCAGATGAGGCACCCTGGCTCAGGCCATATCCTCATTGATCACAATGCTTGATCATCTGACAACCCCTTCCTGCTCTTGGCTTTGGGAAGAAGAAAATCTACTTACTGATAAGCTCACGAGTGGGTTGTGGGTCAGGGGCAGGACTTCTGTGGTCACTGGTGGCGTGGACAGATGTGCTCGCTGCTGTGGCCGATCCCCTCTGTGTCCCAAAGGCAGGAGACAGGGTAGTGGCAGGGCTGGTGGTGGCTGGTGGTCTCATTGATGCTGTGTTGCCTGGGGCTAGAAGCCCTTCCACTTCCTTGGCTGGGCTCACTGGGACTGTGGATGCCATAGCCATAGTGCTGCCTGCAGTGGTGGCTGTGGTGGTCCCTGCAGTGATAGCTGCAGTGCTGCCTGAAGTGATGGTTGAGGAGTTCCCTGCAGTGGTAGCTGGGGTGAAGTCTGTGGTGCTGCCTGCAGTGATGGCTCTGGTGTTCCCTGCAGTGGTGGCTGTGGTGTTCCCTGCAGTGATGGCTCTGGTGTTCCCTGGAGTGATGGCTCTGGTGCTGCCTGCAGTGATGGCTGTTTTCTCTCCCCAGGCAGCTGCCCCTGGAGATGTCCAGAAGGCAGGGGGCAATGTGTTTGCTGTTTGTCCCACATCGTGGTAGCTGACAGATGTAGAAGTGGTGTCTGTTGCTGACTCAATGGGAACCTGTCCAGTTCCTGCCTCCTCAGTTGCACCAACATCAAGCACTGATAAGGAGGCTGTTGTTGCCTTCTCCGCTGGGCTGTACAGGCTGGGGAAGGGTGAACTGGGCGCTGCAGTAGCTGGGCTGGGACCAGGGATGCCCCAGGACCCAGCAGTTGTCTCCCCTGAGGGGGTATGTGCTGCTGGGGACAGGGCAGGTTGCCCACCTCTGCTTGTCTCGCTGTGTGTTACAGTGAGGGATGGGGCAGTGCTGGTGCTGGGAGCCCTTGCTGTGGCAGATGGCACAGCTGTGGTGGCCCTGGCCACCATGAAGGTCGCCCAGCCCACTGAGGTGGCTGGTGGGGTGGTGTTGCTGGGGAATATGCTGGTGGCTGCTGTGGTGGCCAGGCTTGTGCCAGCAGTGTTGGAGTCAGGGACATGGGTGCTGCTGTTGCTGGCTGAGGGTGCTGTACCCTCAGCACCACTCTCAGAGGGGGTGGTGTTCATCCAAGCAGTGGTACCTTTAGCACCTGACCAGGACACTGCTGTAGTCTCCCATGCCTGTGTATGTCCAACAGCCAGCGAGGTGACCCTGGCCATGGGCTTGTCTTCAGTGATGGAGTTGAGAGTCCTTGAGGCTGGGCTGTGGGTGCTATCAGTTGCCTTAGGAGATGGCCACGAGGTGACTTGGGGGCTGTGTGGAGCAGAGGTACTGCTGGGGACAGCAGAGGGGGGTGCTGTGACTTTGTCCGTACTGGCATCACCTGCTCTGGCTGCTGGACCGGTAATGATGCTGGGGGTGTCAGAGGGTGCCACCACCATCGGACGGGTTTTCCCAGGGACTGCAGGGGACACACTGACATTTGGCTCAGCAGTGCTGTGACCGAGGCCAGGGGAAGGTGCTGTAACCAGCTCTGGAGCTGTAGGTGACGCTGAGCCCACAATAGTCACTGCAGTAGGGCTTTTATTGCCGGGGGCAGAGTGTGCTGACCAGACAGCATCACTGGTAGCTGGCTCAGACACCCCAGCTATAGGAGTGGGTAACCCCAGGGGCATCCTCAGGGCCCCATTCCTTGTCGTGCGAGAAGCTGTGTCCATGTCCAAGTCCATGCCTGTGTCTGTGGTGGGCTCAGCAGTGCGGTAGCTGTGGAACAATGCAGCTGTACTTGGCCAAGTCGTGATGCTGGCTGTGGCAGGGGGTGATGTTGGCACCATGGACAACTCCAGTGGGGCTGTCCCCAGCGTGGTGTCACTGATGTGATGGGTACTTGTGGCACCCACCCTTGCGTCCTCAACCAGGGTTGAGCCCAGAGCTGCCTGCGTGGTGCTGCCATCTCCTGCCAGCTGGGACGTGCCCTGGTCTCCCTCTGCAGCTGTATCTTCGGGGGCTGGTGGTGTCATGGGCTGGAGTGTCTTGTGTGTGGTCATGCTGGGGGGGGATCTGGCTGTGGCTGGTGCTGGGCTGGGGTTAGCCATGGCCAGTGGGGCTGAGCGACCACTCCTGGGAGCCAGAAGAGTCAGATCCACTGGGGGCCTTGTTTCAGAAGCATCATTCCCTTGGGCAGGCGCCTCTGATGATGGTCTGGTGGTGACAGTCGCATGGCTGGGAGCTGACCCCACTGCACTGGCACTGGGGTTCTCCTCTGTGCTCAACTCCAGGAGCCCCATCCCCATCGCTCGCTCTGCGGTGCTTGCTGACCCCACTGCACTGGCACTGGGGTTCTCCAATGTGCCCACCTCCAGGAGCCCCATCCCCATTGCTCGCTCTGCGGTGCTTCCATCAGGATGGGGGTCACCTGAAGCCCCCATTGCTGGCAGTGGGGTGGCCAGAGACAGTGAGGACATGGCTGCTGCTATCTCTTGGGGGATGCTGGATGGGGACACCGCCAGAGCCATCCCTACATTGTCACTGCCTTCCAGGAGAGGAGGGGCACCTGCTTGCGATGCTATAGGGATGCTGGCTGCTCTGGGTACCCCCTGGGTACCTGGTACAGCTGTACCTGGTACAGCTGTGCCTGGTGCAGCGCTGGGGGACCACGTCTTTGTCCCCAGAGCTTCCTCATGTTGGAGCCCAGTCTGGACCTGTGGGGCTGCTGCAGGTCTGGGTGTGACACCAGTTCCTGGGGTTGCTGAGCCTGTTGTGGGACCAGGCTGGCTGTGGCCGGGAGATGCATCAAGTACAGGTGAGGAGGCTCCAGTGTCCAACAGCATTGTGGTGGCATTGCCACTGGCCAGTGGTGCTTCTCCCATCCCTGCTTCACTAATTGGAGTGTTGCTAACAAGGGAGGATGGTGGTGCAGTGATGGAAGGCTGTGCAGCAGCAGCTTGAGGGGCCCTGTCTGGCTTTGGTCCACTGGTGCCCATGAGAGACAAGGGCACAGCCGTGCTGGGTTTGGCTGGAGGGGATCCACCTGCAGCCCTCTCTGCTGTGGTGGCCCCGGGGCCTGCTGAGAGGGTCTGGGGAAGCAGAGAGCCCATGGGGTGCAGAAAGGGCCTGGGAGAGGGACCATCAGGGTCACGCCCTGTTGGCGTGAAGGATGGAAGCTGCTTGTGCCGAGTGGTGCTGAGAGCTGGAGGGGTGCTGGTTGGGTGGCTGGTGGGGCCTGGAGAAGAGATCCCAATCCCTGCCCCTGCCTGGGAGCTGCCTCGTGTTGCTGGACCCCCGGGGAGAGCTGCCGGGCTGGGAGGTCCCTCCTGCTCACCACTGCTCCCGGCTGGGACCAGCCCACCTGCTGTCACCTGTGGCATCTGGATGCCTGTGGAGTGAGACAAGGCAGCCCCAGCTGGATCAACCCTACCACAGCCCCAGCAGGCAGGAACCTGCCTGCAGCCAGCTGCCTGCCGGCCTTACCTGAGCCCTGGCTGCCCGCAGGGGCGATGATCCGGCCGGCGGGGGGG